CTACATGGTCCTTCCGTGTAGTATTGAATTTCAGGGGTTATTGGCCATACAATTCTCAATTTATGACCTTGTTTGATTGGGACAGTTCTGACAAGAATCTAATACAAGTATAAGCCAAAACAGCGTTAGTAAAAATCCCAAAGCAATCAAGCACCATCTAATTAGCAATAATGTAATATACCTGCAAGTGGTCTGATTTGCATGGCTGACCCAGGAGCGGAAATAACTTCGGTTCAATATTTCGAATATCAGAGAATTTCTCTTCGACAAGATGTTGAATTTATCAAGGCTTTCTAAAAATATCCAAACATAAATAATGGTATTTAGAGCCATTTTAAGAAAGCATAAATTTGCATTTGATACAAGAGAAAAATCTAGTACCATTTGTATACACAACTAGATGCATCAAATTGGCTGAATAATTTCTTCATAGAAATTGATAAGCTCATTCCTTGTGTCCAATCCTCTTTCTTTTGTCGAACTCCAAAGTGTCCCAGTTCCCTATACAAGTCACAGTTATTTTGAAAGCTTTACGTTGTGATTACAACAAAATGAAAATAGTAATCACACTAAACTCTTTAACAAATATTATAGCTCAGTCTGAACAAAAAAATTCTTCTACGATGAACTAGAGCAAAACTAAACATACTGATATAAAATTTTAAATAGACGTCAAGAAAGCATAGCTATGAGATAAAATATCAATGCACACATAAGTGAACATAATTGTTCATTTAAAATTTCAAATTGGAATTATACTGAAAAATATCACGTGTAACATCTAGAAATATCCTCTGGTTGGTTCAAAAATGAACAAACATAGATGTGATGCAGTAAGAAATGTAAAATATAAATTCTGCATAATCATTTTCATCATTGAAATTTATAAATGCTTCAGGGTCTGAAGTCTGAAAAAAATATTTGACCCTCTCTTACAATAAGGAATGGCATAGATTGATCCTCTCTTAAGATTAAATTCATGTAAGATGGTATGTACAGAAAATTTCAATATTGAAGCTTAAAACTATCTAGCCAGATTCTGGAACTGTCGAACTAAGATGGCTTAAAGAGGATGTGAACCAGCCTTCCAATACTTCCAATTCCTGATGCTACAGTGAACATTAAAAAACATTAGAATTCTATGCATCCATTTATAGCGCGTGGCAGTGGAAGAAAAAGAACAAGAAAGGAAAATTTCCTCCTGCTTTTACATTCTTTCTCTCTCTTATTAATTTGCAATGTTGAAAGGGACCTACTAGAAGCAAAATCATCGCTTCATGGGAATTGTAGGTTATGAAATAGCAAGACCAAAACACAATCGGTACCGGTGCTTTACCAATGAGAAGAAGTTTTCTCCACATACATGCCCATCAAAGGAGAAATGAAGGCAGGGAAAACATTAACAAAGCATCCATAAAAAGCAAATATTCAAACTTTTGTAGAATTAAAAATAGAAGAAATAAAATACTGACCTGTACTGAATTTATGAAATGGATGGTCCTCAGAACTGAGATGTTTCTGAAGCTGAACAGAGTGCAATATTTCATGCAGGGGGAGAGGGTGATAGAATATCAATATTTCTCCAAGAAAGGGTTACAGCAAAATGACTTGAGATGTCATTGAAGTAATCAAATACATATGAACAAACATTAAGATCAGATTTATTTCTTTTAGCCTTAAAAGTGCCAAATGACATTAACGAAGACTATTCTAGAGCGGAAGATGAGATTTACAAACAGTGATCCCCAATAGGCCTGGTAACTATTAACTTCATAGAGAACAGTTTCCCCCCAATTATGAACAGAGACATCCCTCCAACTTTATAAAATTTGAGTATATATTCATAATAAAATAAAATTTTGATTTTGCTTTCTTCTCCATTTTCTACTTGTACCAACCACAAACTCAGTAAAGGCAAGAAATAGTTACCTGTTCATTCTCCAGGCATCAGATAATAAATTCTTTTGGTTTCTGTGAAAAGGAGCAAGGAAGGGGGCAGAGATAAGAAAGTAGGAGGAAAAGCTTAAGACATTGGACAATATTATAAAATATTAACTAACCAGAGTCAACAGCTTTAATTTCCCTTGTGGTAGCATCAGACAACATCAATGGTTTGGATGAAGAACTGAGCAAATCTGGCAGACAAAACATGGCCTAACATCAGATCTGCTATAAAAAATCATCATCAGAAATAAGAAATGAATGAAACCATAACAGTGGGATCTACCTGTCTAAAGCCTCTTCAAAAGCGTCAGTGTTAACATCAAAGTAATAGTTTGGTGTGCTCAGAGGATGTAAAAGCATTGGTGCTTCCTCCATGCTGTATCAAGAAGGACAGACCCCAGTGATTTGGGGGGAAAACAAAAAACACATGTGTTGGCCAAAGACAAAAATGACAGCATCTACCTCAGTAATATACTTGGAATAGCTATCTTTACTGGGATTTTTCGCTGGCATAAAAGCATGTGTTCTGGAAGCATAAAAAACCAACTGATCATCAGGTTATAATCTTTAATAAATAACATTTCAATCCCATCCTTAGATAAAGCGCTGGTTAAGGTGAGTAATCTAATGTTAAAATATAAATTAATTCTCGTTGACCAGTTTAGGTCTATTATCCTCCTTGTTTCTTGTCTAACAGCTGGGAGGTAAGTCATCTGTTGTTAAAGTTAACTTGACAGGGCTGTCAGGGATCAAAGTTTACTTTTTATAAGTTTTATTCTTATTTTGGTCCTAAATATAAGATCCCAAACCATTCTATCTCTCATATTATCTAGTTTTTTTCTAAGGTAGTTCTTGTAATAATAATGTTTCTAACCAATATATTTGATTAGTAAAAATATTTGAGAAAAAAACATACATATTTATTACAAATAACTACCTTAGCTAATTTTCTTAATCTACTTAAATTAGTCAACAAGCTATTGGATTAAGGTGGGAGGTAGTACATAAATGTACCAACAACAAGATTACCGCCTCAAACAGTCAAAAACTTTACCAAGGAAATGGGCAAGCCTTCAAGACCATCTGGATCACTGAAGGAGCCGACACCAACGTCCATGGAAGCAGCACACTATAAAAAAATAAAACAGAAACAATATAAATAACTTGAATTCAATTATAACAACAACAACAACAAAAAAACAAAGAGAGAACTTGAATTCAAAACAGAAAACAGTGTCGGGAGAGAATTCAACCTTATCAGTATCCGGATCGCTGATGAGAAGTACTTCAAGCGAGTTCCGGAGAACGATTCTTCTGTAATACCTCTTGTCCGAGCGAGCTTTAAAAATCTCTACCTCTTCCTTCCCCACCGCCATCGTCAATTTCCAGGCGCTTCCTTCCTTTCTTCTCTTCTCTTCCGTCCCCTTCCTCACAATCCCGCCAGAGAAAGGTGCAGACAACAATAACTTTGCCTTCTCTACTATCCCCTTCAGTACTCAGATCTTTGGCGCTATAACACAGGTCCGTCGGGTTGACGTTTCATCTCTATGGCCCATCGTCCGGGTTGGGGGAGACTTTTTTTTTTTTCTTTTTTTCCTTTTAATTTTTAAAAAAATGGTGTGATGGAGATTAAAATCTGACAAGTGTATCAAAATGCCTATTTTCTTTGGAGGAGAGACCATTCAACCAGATTTTTAAGAATCTCATACTCGTTCAGATTTTACACCTCAGTGAGAGAAAATAAGCAGCAATTTTTCCATATTGAGTGGGATACTGAGGACAATATAACTAGACTTGTCTTTGTACGAGCATGTTAATTTATCCAATCTTTAGCCAAAAAAATATTAATATATTCAAACTGTTCACCCTAATGGAGGCTAATGAAAAATGTGCACAAAAGGTGTAGTTTAAACGTTCATCTTGTCATCATCACGACGACGTGTAAGTTGAGAGATGCATAATTTAAGGCAAGGCACGATCATATCAATTTTATATAAACAAATAAACAGACAAAAGTACAAAAAACCATACTTAATATATAACCTTATTCTGATACCATTAATCTTGAATTCCTCAGCCGAAGTCTCAAAAAGCATTTTCTCAAATATTTTAAAGAAAACACACCCCACCCTCTTCTCATGTGCACAAAAAGTGTAGTTTAACGTTCATCTTGTCATCACGACGTGTAAGTTGAGAGATGCATAATTTAAGGCACACGACTCATATCAATTTATATAAACAAATAAACAGACAAAAGGTACGAAAAAACCATACTTAATATAAACCTTATTCTGATACCATTAAATCTTGAATTCCTCAGCAGCCGAAGTCTCAAAAAGCATTTTCTCAAATATTTTAAAGAAAACACCCCAACCCTCTTCTCAATGCCTCCCAAACCCTTGTGATAATATTTGTCAATTGAGTCATGAATAATCAATTATTATGTATTGTTCTATTAGTTTTGTTGCATATGGGATGATAAATTAAAGTGAAAAACGGAGAGCAAATCTTTTCATACTAAGGGTGTTTGGTAATCATAAAAAATATTTTTAAAAGTATTTTTTTGTAAATCAAATTAAACTCCTCTACATATTTATTTTGTATACCGTAAAAATATTTTTAAAATTATAGTTTTAATTCTATCCAAATACTTCTAAGTAAGATATTAGGGACAGTATGGCTAATCTTTGCATGAACATATTAAGTTCAACTAATTAAAACTGATAATGCCACGGAAAAATATTATTGTCATATTGATATGACAGCCCAGGCTGCAAGCTGCCACATGCCATTCAAAAGTGTGATCATACATCCCAACTTCAACCAAACTGGACCCACGCTTTTTAGAGTGTCCTCTGAGCTTGGTAGTGTAGAGTAAAAGAGGTAAGGCCCATTATTTGGCTATCATGTATATAAATATATTAAAAAAATTATCTATTCTAAACATTGTTTTAAAATTATTATACCAAATACTCCCAAAATGTGTATGAAGCAAATTAAGAAGTTTCATTCGCTCTTCAGTCAATCCGAAGGAAAAAAATGTATCAATGGGTTCATGATTGCTTTATTCTTCAACAATTATTTTTTGAGAAATAAAAAAGTTTAATTGGCAAAATAAATCAAACACTGTGCTGCAAAAATCTCGCCGTCTACGACTGAGATTAAATCAACCAAAAAAATCTTCAAGAATCAGAGCGGGATTTGACGATGAAATTTTGGCGAGTTATGGGATTCATAACCACAGGGGGACCAGCAGCACGAGGCCATGCCTGAAATTTCTTGTCGGTCTCGTCAAACCACTCCTTCCTTGAAACTGTTTTTGGGGTAGTGCCTGAAGGAAAAGACAAAACAATTACCATTACTTCACGCAGCTTAAACATCATCAAAGCAGAATTAAAAACTCCAAAAGCAAAACGCAATTGACCTCCAAACATCTTTGAGTCAGAAACAGATGTATCACAGATCCATGCAACTCCAAATGATGCTAATACAGCAGGAATGATATATTTGCCTGCCATGTTCAAGTATAGCACGCTGCGCAAGAGAAAAGAAAATTAAAACAGTCAAATAAAAAACTCAAAAGATAGGAACTAGATGAGAGACCTCGCTAAACGAAAATTGATATGGTAGAGAAATTTGCAGAGTCAACAATCAAGAAGACACAGACATTAAATTAAAGTATAAACTCCACACACAAAAAATTCCAGAAACTGGCAAATCAGAGAGGCATTTAGATCCATCCCACGCGAACAGATCAATGAAGACAGTGGTAATAAACACCACATTGGCGTGGACAAAAAGCACAATTACTATCCGCAAAGAGACAAGTATAAGGAAATATCCTATTTCTACTACGTATTTCCCAAGCGAATGACAAATAATACACATGTCGAGTCGCAATCTGGACTTTTTGTTAAATCCTTCCATTGGCGTGCAGATAAAAACATGATATCCTTCATGCAAGATGCTCACAGTCACAGGAGGAAGATAATAAATGAGGCCAGTATGAATTCATTTTCTTGCTGTCGCTTCAAGGCTAATTTTCTATTCATAGCATCATCTCCATCATTAGCCACGGTTTTTGGATACAGTTGGAATGAAAAATGATACAGTACTAAGTAATGTTAGAAAAAAATACGAAATTTTCTCAAGCGATTAGAAATCATTTATCCCATTACTGATTACATGAAGCATATTTGGACCCCAAAAAAAATTACCTGAAGCAGAAAATCACAACAATAAAGAAAATTAGTACAAAACAATTCTGAGGCGCCTTAAATTGTTATAGCCTGAGACTCCCCATTTAACTAAGTTTACAAATTTCAGACGCTATCATTGTGTGTTATTTACGAGGAACCTTTTCAAGAGCAATTCAATATAATCAATCATTTATAAAAGATTCGAAATATCTAGGATGTTGATTTTTATTTTCTCTATTCTTTACATGTAACGAAAGACATGTTCATTGGAAAGCAACCGATCCAATCAACGGCCTCGCATTAAAATGAAGTACAGAAATTCAACAAGTCAAGAGATTCCACTCGATCAAGGGAATGAAAATAAGGAAGGTCCCGGAAAGAGCATGAATGTGTTCGAGAAAAATGTATATTGCTTACCTGGAAATCTGTAATGGAAAAGACAGATCACCAGACCGATCGTCGATGCGAAAAGAACGAAATAGAGTTGAGAGAAGAGGCCAACAGTGGGTTGTTAATGAACACCACAATAGAATTGGTCAAAGCGAAATAGGGCTTTTATGAGTTTGTTATATTATTATCATTATTTTTTTTGCCAGCATCGTTATATTATACTATATGCATTAATAATGAAAGGAACTGATAATACCATTTATCTTTTTAGAGTTTTTTTAATAAATCCTACGCGTAGAGATATTTATCTTTTTATTTATTTAAATCAATATATTTGGATTTATAACCTAGCCTAAATTAAAGTTGGAGTTGGTCCTAGTTGAAGAGGCCTCTCAAGGGACTTGTTAGTGGCTTATTCTACCTCTGATTTACATCTTTTTTAATTTTTTGGGCCGAGCTGCTCTGATTCATATCCAAGTATTGCTTATAATTTATACATCAAATGAACTAAGCTCCCAAAAGGGGGGGAAAAGCAGCAGTTTTGCCGGGCTTACGTATACATAACAACTTAAATATTCAGCCGTTTTTGTTTTTATAATAAGCTGGTGGAGTAACAATTCAAGCAGTCAGTTCAATTTTTGTCATGAACGAAGAATCCGACAAATAGAAAAGTAACTGAGCCAAAATAAACGAATCATGCGGTGACGATTCAACCAGGCAATGATGTTAAGACTTCTTCAAATTCATGTGGACAACCTTTAGGCTTTGAAAGGGGGCGCAAACTGATAGGATACTCTAGAAAAGTCGTGAAGTATAATTAAACTTCATCCTGTTGAACCAAACCTAGGCTCTTGAATTACCACCGTGATCCCTCTCAACATGCTCCACAAGAGCCACTGGATCTAGAAATCCTCTACTACACTTGGGACAGGCATCCACGGTCGCCTTTGCCACCCCTCTGGATCGGTTGCTGCTTCTTTCATGAACTTTCTGCACATGATCCACCAAAGAAGTGACAGAGGAAAACTTTGCATTGCACTGAGGACATTGCTCCACCTCCGCTTGCCCATTTTCATAACCTCTCCCACTGCTCTGTCCCACCCCATCCTTTGCTGTTTGCCAAGCTTGGTTAATTTCATTACCCAATTTTGACATGCTGGCTTCAGCTGAAGCTCGAATATTTGATGCCACGTTGCGAAAACCTGAAGCCCATTTTGATGTGGATGTAGGTGGAGATGGATTTGGCTTTGACTCTTCTTTTTTACTTCTGCTCAAGAGGTTCATAAATGAAAAGCTTGTTCCCAAACTTTTGGGTCCAGGACACTTGTGATCAGGGCCAAAACGATGCTTTAGACAATGATCCACCAAGCAATCCCTGCATTTGATCGTGTTTGAGAACACCAAGACCTCTCTGCATCCCGGGGCAGGGCATTTTTTCTTCTTCATGGCTCTCTCATAATTTGATGGGTCACACTCAGTGTTGACGTGATTCTCCCAAGTTATGTTTGGATCTTGTTCAGGAACTAAGCGGACTCCTTTTGCACAAAGCGGGCATATGACAACAGTGACATCCAGTCTGTCCGCTTTCTGACACTGATGTTTAATATAACCTCTGTGCTCCAAACAATATACCTACAAGAGATTTTGGCAGATATAGACATATAGTTAACTGAAACAAAAAATTATGAACATGAAAGAAAAGGAGGATTAGTAACGATACGGATAACTAAAATATGAAACAATAAAACATACACAGTGCATGCACTGGCACATCCCCAGAAAGTTAACATGCATAATCAATTCTGAAATACAATTAGTTCCTGCTGAGAAGAAAAATTGCTTCTCAGAAGATAAAACAAAGAAGAATTTACCATATTATAAAACCAAACATAAACTCTCTCAGGACTGCCAAAAATGAAAGGACAAGCAGACCAATTGAGAGGAAATAACAAGAACTAAATGATGTCAATCTCATTTATAACTTAAACCTGTGTGACAGGCTGACAGGTAAAGAAAAAACTATGGAACAAAAATAGAGCTTCTTCTCCTTGTCCTCAGTTCAATAAGAAAGATATGTGCCTGTTTATGTCTACAACACAAACTAAATTGGGCTACAGGGAGATGTATGAGTATGCTGGATTCTAAGCATTCATTATTGAGATTTTTCTGAAAGTAAAACTTCAGCCTCAATCTTCACTTTTCCCCAAATCCCGCTGCAGAGGAACAGGCAGCAGAAATTTCCCTTATCAAAGAAAAACTAGACCAGACATACAGGATGAAGCTAAAATATTAAAAAGCAGTTCAATAGTCAAACAGAAACTGCACTGAATGCAATAGCACTCGTCGCTGATATTATCCAAGTATTAAAAGTGGTAAATTTTGTCGCCAAGCACTTGGCTTTAGGAAGACATATGCCAGTTGATATGCAAGGGTACAAAAAGAAAAGGTTAGGACTCTTATGAGAAAAGTACAGTGTGTCAACTTAGGAGGGGTACAGTCACACTGCATAAGTAACTATGATGAAGTCGAAAAGTTCCCAAGGAGTAACACAATACCCGAGTCCATGAGAAGATCTTGTTAGACAATCACTTCACTTAAAAGTGGGAAAGATCAAGTCAGCTTTTTATTTCTCTTCTATATTTTCTTAAAAATAAGCTCCAATCGATGTTCAAGTTTCTATAAACCAATTTTACTGCCTTCTCTTCGGTCATAAGACATGAAAATGACACGAAGATAACCACATAACCTAGAAATAGAATTAACAAAAGATAGATTTCAAGCTTAATTGTTACACTCTTCTCTTCTTGTTTTTAACTTTTGGCGGAAATGGGAACGTTCTCACCACAGCTATAAGTTCGACAAGAGGTAACTTGAGCAATCATTCGAACAAATAATCAAAAACAAATTGAAACAAACTCAGAAGCTGGAAAATACATGAAAACCAATCAACAATGCAGGCTGCATACAGTACAGTGACACAAACAATAAGGAAATCTAAGCATAAATTTAAAAAATAATAATATTAAGTGTAAGAAAAAAGAACAAACCTGATTGCAACGATCGCATGTGAAAGGCAAGAAATCAATCAACTTGCAATCACCAACAGCGCAATGCCTTCCAAGATCTGGGAATTCGGGAGTTCCCATTGGAGGATCAAAATCAGCTCAACGCAGGAAAGACCGAGACGAAGATTTCGCCGACAATTTAGAGATAAATCCCGGCAATAACAAGGCAAAAGGTGAATTTAGATTCCCGGATTTTCCTGGGCAAGTAGAAATTGAAAATCAGGATTTTAGATTTCCGCGTATATAGAAAGTGGGGCGAGATAGAGAGGGACGGAGACCGAAGCAACGGACGGCAGCGAGGGAATAGGAAGTCGCCGCAGTCTTTGAATATTCGTAGTTTTATTTCTTGTTTCCAATAAAATTTTAATTTTAATTTTCCAATTTGGATTTGGTCATCTAATCGTCGAGCGCCCTCTTACGCCAATAGGAATATAGTTCATACGTGCTTTTGACGTACAAACTCCAATAATTTAAGCGAAGCAATTACTTTTATGGTAATATAATTCAAATAAATAAAATCCATATTTTCATCAGATATTTTTATGCAATTTTTATCCGATATTCTATATTCTGGTCTTGTGAGTTTGCTATTGAGGAATGAACATAGTATGCGCATATCTTGTTCGGAAAATTGCCATGAAATTTTAAAGAAAATATAATTACTAAAAAAATTTAATGACAACAAAATAACATGTAATAACAAATTTTAATTAAAAAATTACAATAAAATCCCACCCAAAAGAACTAAATATAAAAAAAACCCTTAAAATTATTTTATTCTAAAGTCTTAAGAAATTTCATTGCAAAATATTTTTATTTATGTAATTACCAAATTACCTTTATCTTTTTTTAAGTATACATTGACAATTGAAAGAGCAATAATTGATAACTTGATGTGTAACATTTAACAACTATGATGGCAAATATTGATAATATATTTTTTAATATATCACAAAAAATACAGGTATTAACAATACATTCTCTCAACATACACAAAAAAATATAATGCATAAATTGTTAATATCTGTTATGATAGTTATTAATCGTTATACTTTAAATTGTCAATTATTACATTTTCACTGGATACATACTTCAATAAAAAAAACAATTTGACAATTAAACAAATAGAATCTCTTAATTTCAGATTAATTTGATAATTTTAAAAAACTTTTTTGTATTTAATTCTGTTGAATATGACCTTATTGCAATTTTTCTAATTTTAATATAAGAAATCTCACTTGTTTTTCAGTAATCCTCCCTCTTTTCTTGAACATCAGCCACAAAGTTCTACTCTATCACGATAATGATTTTTTTTTTTTTTTGGTTGAACTTTCACGTTGACGATTTTGCCAGTGAGATTATAATTTTGCAAGATTTTAAGACTCTTGATCCCAAATTGAAACTAAATTCATCTTCGCTGTCAAATTATCATTCCCCTTTCGTAATGACATGGAAGCTTGAAACCTGAAACCTAATCCGCACTCAAAGAAACCAATCCTAACAAATTTTCGGGGGACACTACCGATATCAGGAAGAAGCTGATGAACGAATTACATCAGCTAATTCTCTCATATTCACTTCATGGCACAATACGGCACCGCGTGAAATTACCAAAAAGACTGTATAAATGGTCGAGGCTCACGAGTTATAAATTTTCCCTCACATTTTAAATGTCATGGGCATACAAAAAAAAATTCAGGCAATTAATTGGCTTCAAACATATTACCAGTACTAAAGTCAACTAATTAAATCATCAAGTTAAAAACATTTTCCTGGAGTAAAAAATGTTTAAAATATTATAATAAATATTTAAGAAATCAAAATCTAATGCAATCACGATAAAAGACCTTAACAAGTCAAAGTCGTGATCCCGTCCCTTCAAGGCTTCAACTCCTTTTAAACGTCATAACCTGTAAAATGCTAAGAAGTCTGAAGTATTCTCCCCAGGCGGCAAGGTATGCTCGTAATAATATACCCATCACGAACGAAAAGACAAATCTAACACCGACACATCTCCCGTAATAAAGTTTCGTATTCGAAATTCGAAAATGGGTAAACATCCATTGCATTAAAACACAAAACAGCAAAAACAAGAAGAAATATGGTGTTCCTGAAAAGAAAAAGAAACGTACACGACCAGAAACATATATAATTACTACTGCCTATTAGGATAAAATCCAAAATCCCATCTCATCAAAACTGGCTGGTTCAAGCATCGACTCTGTCGTCCTCCAAGATTAGTGCCTTACCAGTAGGTTTAGCCAAAAGATCTGTGTACTCTTGGAATGGAGATTTGGTGAAGCGAGTCTCCCTCCAGAACTCAGGAGTAAGGAACCCATAGGTTTTCAGCAAACAGTCAAAAGTAGCCTGTGGAAAAAACAGAACGTTACTTATGGACATAGCTAGCAAATAATTTGTAAGCTACAGCTAACTGTTCAGCAATCGAATAGTGCTTCCAAAATGTTCAGATTACGTATCAATCTCATAGCTTATGTCGAAAATATACGTGAACTCTATCCCCATTTCTTGCATCTTAATTGATACAATCATAAGCATAGCTGCAGATAGAACTGACAGCAGAAATAGAATATTTTAAACACCGAATTTGCAATGCGCCTCAAGTATCTGCCGATTCTCATTCCCCCCCCCCCCAAAAAAAAAACATTTGCACAGATAGCATTCAGGTCAGAAACTGTGGATTCTAATCACCATGTTTGCAACATTGCTTGAATATCTACAGTCATTAACTTTCTCATGCCAGCAAAGCATGCCTAGGGACAAAACAGAAAAAAAGAACAGCACGACAGCAATTTAATATTTAGTTAACCCAATCCTTTCGCTTGGCCTTGAGACCAAACGTGAAACAAAAAGTTGTGGGTTTCAAACACATCTCGATTCAACCCGGTACATGAACTTAACAATGAAGTCTAACTCATGCAAAACTTGGCAAAGATAACAATTTCAATCTTGATATCTAATCTAATTTGTCAAAAACTATTGCAAAGACAAGACACACACACACACACATCGACACAAGACACAAGAACTCCCTATAATTGAATATAACGCCGGATACATGGTAAACTAATATAAAAATGGGTTTAAACATTTGCATAAGCAAATAAAAACATTATTTGGAACGAACCTTGACAAAATTTCCAAGAGTCTTAGTCGACCCTCTTGAAGAAGTGAAGACATCCTCAATACCAGCGAACTGCAATACCTTCTTCGGCACCCTAGCAGCAACAATTCCAGCACCCCGAGGAGCGGGAACCATACGCACTGTGACTGAACCACACTTACCAGTAACCTTGCACGGGACAGTGTGGGGCTTCCCGATCTTGTTACCCCAGTAACCTCTTCTCACAGGAATCACCGAGAGCTTGGCCAATATAATGGCACCACGAATGGCAGTGGCGACCTCCTTGCTACACTTAACACCGAGGCCCACGTGTCCATTTCCGTCACCAACGACAACAAACGCCTTGAATCGAGTTCTCTGCCCGGCCCTGGTCTGTTTCTGCACAGGCATAATCTTCATGACTTCATCCTTCAGACTGGGACCAACCAATGTATCAACAATTTGATGCTCCTTGATCGGGAGAGAATGAAGATAGATCTGTTCGAGGTGGCGGATCTTTCCCTCCTTGACGAGACGGCCAAGTTTTGTCACCGGAACCCATTTCTCCTCCTCTTCGCGGCGACCACCAGCTCTGCGTCGTCCACCTCGGCCACGATCTCCGCGTCCACGGCCGCCAAAGCCACGTCCAAAACCACCACGATCTCCGCCACGCTCAGCCATAATTGAAATTGTCAGCAACAACGATAAGCAACCCTAAATCCCGAAGGGAAAGTCACTGCCGCCAAAGGAGAGTGTAAGGCCTTAAACGAATGAGAGGCCTGCCTTTCTTATATGAGGAAGCGGCCGGATGAGGAAGCATGACATAGCCTAGGGTTTTTCGGGGGTTGCGGTTTTGTTTGGTTTCAAGGATCCAGTAAACCGTGATAAAGGCCCGAGCTTCTTTTCCCTGGTTTTTTTTTTATTTAAATTTTTATAGGTTACAACTGTTTGATCACACAGAAATCTAGTATGATAATTCATACACGGCAAAAAAGTAATATGATAATTTATAAAGATAAATACTATTTGTGTTCATAACATTAAAACGAATAGAAGCTATAAGTTTATAGAAATTTATAATTGAATGTTTTTGAGTGAAAAACATCAAGCATGTGTAGATTATCAATAAGCAAGAACTTTTCAAGCCCAACACAAGCAGAAACGAGCTCTACGGCCAGTGGTCCAGTAATTATGTTTGGGCCTAAGGCTATATGGGCCATGGATCCAAGAAATGATTTTAGCCCAATAGATTTGACAGAAACATAGGCCACTGCAAAATTTGAGAGAAGGTTTTTGACTTTCTCATTCCAAACACGGCGCATGGCCTGGATTTCTCTTCAACATCAGTAAAAGTAATTTTCCGCCGAAATCGGGAACGGATTGCCAAAATAGATCATATCCTGTTTGACAAGTGAAACCCACTCGTACGTCTAACTAATACACTTTCCCAGGAACTCAGTTGTTTTTAAGAGCTTACTAGCTATAAATTTTTCTGATTTCTAAGCCAAAGACAATGGGAGATCAACATTCATATGCACATCAATAAACGCATGGACTTGTTGGTAAACCTGGTTTTGAAGTTTTAATGCCCAAGCTGTATTGTATTGTTCCATTCACAAATACTTTTGCAGCAGAACATAATGGTCCGTGCTATTGAAGAGTCGCTATGAAGCGTGTCTTCGGTAAGTAGTCAGGTTGTTTTGTAACTATCTAAAGTTCCTACCAAGTTGACGAGGAGCCAGCCAAATCCAGAGGCAGAGCTCTCAGCTTTCTGATTTCAGGCAGACACATACCAACCGTATCACTGAACGCAGCAAGAGGGAGGAGCCGCGACAAATTCTTGGGAAATTCGAAGCAGCAAAACAAACAAAATCATGGGTATTAGGAAATAATATACCTGACTCATCAAATGACTATATGGGATTTTGGAAAACAAAAAAAAAAGGTCACAAAACCGCCTGATTCTTTAGGGTCAGAGACTGAACATAACATGAACATGTGAATATGGAGAAAGGACAAAATTGGGAGGAGAAATCAACTATTTTTAAGTGTGAAGTTGCAATGTAGCCCAAGACCCACAGCTAACGAGATAAAGAGTACCGTTTCTACTTTATATAATTATTAATAATGAGTTAATGGGTGGTCAGAAGCTTTTTGCCTTCAGCTATATTTTTTTGGCACCTCAAAAGCCTCACCTGTTAGTTAAAAAAAAAGCCGAAAACAAAAACAAGTATCTGTGAAAATAAAACACCAAAGAGATCCTAAGCAACAACAAAAAGCAAACCAATGACATTTATAATGCCACATCCACTTGATAGCATTAAATAATGATAGCCAGCTAGCTCATTTTCACGCCCTTTCTGTTCAGGTTCAGAGCTTTCATCACTCTCGTATAAGAGTTCGTTCGTCTTGTTCATCCATGGAAGCAAGGCCAGAGGGCTCAATGCAGCCATTAATGGTGCCTCCACCGAGAGGGGAAGAGGCGAATCGTTATTCTCACAGATCAATAGAGACGCTTGTGGTGGTTCTGGCAGTGATCACAATAGTGGGTGTGCTTGCAGGGATAGTGGCTCGTCTCTGCGGTGGAAGGCACTTCGGAGGGAATGGAGAGAACGATATTGAAGGTTGGGTTGAGAAGAGGTGTAGAAGTTGCATCGATGGAGGCCTGCCTCCGCCGCCGCCGCCGCCACCGGCAGAACCAAAGACAGAACCGGCGGCAGGAGAAGAAAAAAAGTGAAGACTGTGAGATGCAGAATTCTAACATTGATTTGTAAGCTAGTAAGTACAGAGCTTGATGAATGTTTCTGAATATATATATATATATATATATATATATATAAGGGGGTAAGGGGAAGTTTACACAGCTTTTTAACTGCAATGTAGCACTGTGTTAGTTGTAAAACACAAAACATTCATGTTTGAGTTTGACAGACTCGGCTACTTGATGTTCCTGGAGTTTCCGTTTTACTCTGTTTCATTTTTTTCCCCCCTCTGGGGTATGTTTGGAGTGGAGAAAATTGTTATTTTTTTCCCCCTTCTATTACAAGCTAGCCTTTATTTTCTGGTAACTAAGCAAGCTTTTCCATCCTTAAAAGAGATTGCATTTCAACAAATGCAAGTGACAGTAATGATTTTCCACTCTGACATGAACAAAGAGGGGGAAAAAACTCACGGACTACATAGAAACTATTGTCTGTTGACAGTCATTGACTCAATTCGCTCCAGCCTTTCCGGCTATTGTTTAATTTCATTCCAGCCTTCACAGCTATATAGAGAGAGGGCAAAGTGATAGTGTGAAAAATATACATACCAATCTAGATTCAAGCGAAAGCGGAGTCAATTATCATGACTAGTGTTTTCTGAAATATTAAAAGGATGGATACTGAAAATATGCATTAAATATATCGGGGACGTGTATTAATTTTTTTTATAGCAATTTTATTACATTTGTTGTTTTAAATGGATAAACTTCGACGAGGAATATCCTGAGGAAATCACGTTGGGCCCTAGGCATAACTTGTGCCATAAAATCTGAAACAAATGTCTGCTCAATGAGGCTGACCGCATTTTAATTTACCTGTTACTAACAACTCAACAAGTCCACTTTGCAAGGTTCTCCACTGGGCGTTGGAATGTTACCGTTGCAATCACTAATTACACTCACTTTAGCAAAAGGAACTCGTAAAAGGGAACTCCGACTAAAACTGCGGCCACTTTGCGGGAAAAAAATGGACAACTTCATTTTTCAAGCTGCGCTTATTCAAATTGGACGGTGGCCCGGGGAAAAACCTTAAATGGACTGCTCATCCCAGTGTACATAAATAAATAATATGGGGCCAATAAATACCCATAGTTAAATTATACTTAGCGGCCATATGCTTCTTTATTTAAACAGCAAAAAATTGTTTTTATCATCCAATTATTGGGTTAAGCACCCCAAATATTTAGTCAGGTGTATCCAACATCCTAAAATATTTTGTGACAAATCCAGTACCGTGAAATATTTTTTAGTACATCCAACACTCAAAAATACTTTTTAGTACATCCAACATCAGCATAAAAATACTTCAGAATGCTGGATGCTTTTACAAAATATTTCGAGATGCTAAATGCACTACAAAACATTTCAAGGTACTGGATATACCTAAAAAAATATTTCAGAGTGCTGGATAAACATTAACTCTAAATTATTTAATTGAAATGTATTTAATAAACACATGACAAATGCATACTCCAAATGCATACGATCTTAATAATAAACATTATGTGATCGAATATTGCAAGGAATTTTCTTACATATATCATTTTATTAGTGGGAAATTAGTAGCAAATATATAAAACGCACGAAAATAGACCCCTCTGAATAATTGTAGTATGTTTGATCGCGGCGGATGCCCAAAAAATATTCAAGATAGAAACCAGACATAGGAACGTAAGCTCAAGACCAAGACAACGTAAATAGACCCCTCTGAATAATTGTAGTATGTTTGATTGCGGTGGATGCCCAAAAAATATTCAAGATAGAAACTAGACATAGGAACAAGCTCAAGACCAGGACAAACATCCCACAAACACGAAAAAAGGTTTGTGAAATTCTAACAGCTTGTTCATGGATGCCATAAAATACCGCTCAAGGGAACTATTTCAAACTGAATTATTTTTTTTAGGCTTCAATATTCCAATTTCAACTTCCAGGAAAGAAGACAGAATAGAAAAAAGTGCACAGTAAAGAACATGAAGATAAGACATTATCGTTGATAACTCCTCCAACTATCATTTCCATGTAATACAGACGAAAAGCTATTATGAACACAAATTTAAAGCAAAAGGCCAATCCCAAACGACCGGCAAGAGGAGAATCTCTTACTTATACCACACTTATGAAACTCCTTGATGCAAGATTCATAACAATGCAACCCTTTGAGAACCAACACTCCTGATGGCTTCCTACCACGGCATCTTACTCAGCCTTCTATTGGTCAAAAACCTCTAGGGGTAGCTCCAAAAACACTTTTGTTATATATACAACTCCAAAAAAAGAAGCTCAATTCTAAAAAATTAGCCTATAAGAAGAAAGAATCAACTACACTTGTAAGACTTTTCAGCATGCGACTCATAAGCCTAAAGGCTACTGCTATTATGTGCCATTAAGTCAGCTATTTAACTTCATAGGATTCTCGTTCTTTTTTGTCTCTTGTCTGTAGCATCCTTGCCTTTAATCAGCGGTGGGGCAACCAAATCTGACAAACTCAACCTAGGTGTAAGTTTGACTACAAGCACAAATTAACCATCAACATGCAAATTATGGTCCACAAAACACATTACTCCTTTAGTTATTGATGTTTCTTTAACTGCTTCGTGTATTTCAGGGTTTTTCAATCCAATAACCAAAAATAAATTGCAGCCATCAAAGCCAAGTACTTCCCAGAAACTCCCTCCTCTCTCTATTTATCGAGGGCCAAAAGGATCATTTTTAATTTTTATATCTTTCTTTGTGTTTCCTTTCTTCCACGTCCAACCAAACATGGTCGAAACCTAAGCTGTTGGCTCTCTGTTCTGCCCTCTATCATAAGAGGCCAATTCGTTTTAGATGAATACCTCAATACAGTAATAAGGCATCGATCTTGCTACTGCCGAGTGTGAAGTGAGGGCAATTTTTCAAACCTAATTTCCGCTACATTTGTCTAGGGGTGCTTCACAATCATAACTGACAATTGTATACCATTATGCCAAAAGCCAACAACCTAAAGTGGCCTAATTAGTTCGAGGAAACTTCACTAAGCTAGCCTGAAGTCATGCCAAGCAACACCTAATTTCATTTATTAAATTAAACATCCAGGTGCAATTAGCCAACGTTTCAGATCCTAACCAATGAAACATATTATATTCGATCACAAGTTAACAGGAAGAAGTTGCAGAGTTTGCTGCAAAGTTACAAGCAAAGCAATTTAACTCTAAATTTCAAGTGCACCCTTAACCACGGAAAGCAAGCCAAGGCAACTCACAAGGAGCAGCATAATGTTGTATGAACCTGAAATGAAACACAATCCAAAAGCCAATGATACCCGCTACGTCCTTTGCTTCCTAGGAAACTAAAGACGCGCAGTGATCTATTCATGTGCGTTAGCAAGAAAAACAATTAACGAAATGAAGGAAGAAGCATGTAGATCGAATTGCTATTCAATAAAACAAAGGAAGCTGAGCCAGCGAATTCTTCGGCTTCCCCTTATCAACCTTCTCCAGTTTCGCGTTGAAACGCATCAGCTCTCAGCACCTATGAACTGAACCAAGGTAAATGCAGACAAGCCTTTAAAATCAAATTCGAGATTTGTCTTCATACACCCTGCTTACCTTTGAAAACCAGATTTGGAATTGCAAAACATTCGGATCCGATTCTTGAAAAAGAATAAACAGATCTAGGGTTTGGATACTGAAGGGGGGAAAAGTTAACAGAAAATATAAAATCAAATTGGGAACCAGCGACACATAATTTCTTACCATAATCGGCGGGAAGAACTCAAGACATACAAGATCCTGTTACCGACTGTTACCATTTCCATTTTATCTATGGAGAATCACAACCCTGACAAAAGATGGTGCACAAAGATTCCTTCGACCCCTTATACATAAAGAAAAGCAAGTCTTCCACGGATCAAGTGAACATAGTATCCGTATTTCTAACGGCTCTAGGCATGTTTCTATAAAAGGCCGGCACAATCTCGTCTGGAAACCAAAAATCTCCGATTTTTTTTCCTTCAAAACTTGGGCTGCCGTGCAATCTCATCCTTTTTGAACAAAAATCACTACCGATTTATTTTTGTTAGGATTGTGATCCTCCATAAATAAAATATAAATGTGATGATTCCTTTCACAAGAAAGAAAAGGAGAGAGGAAGATTGTTGGATTTCCTGCCGGCTCAACCCATTATACCTTCTCTAGTTGGAGAGAGATAGATAACATGATAAAATTTATATTTATATCATTTCGCTATCTAAACCTAGGTAAGGATCTAGAACTTTATAATAAGTTATATTATTCATAAGTTATGAACAGTATATTTTATTTTTTAAAAATTTTATATAACATCGATATTAATAATAAAAAACATACAACAAGTTCTTTTAATTTTTTTTATTTTAAAGATACTCGAGTCATATACGAGTCAATACTCAATATGTATTTTTAAATTTTTGTTGGGAAATTTGTAACCATTTATTTATTTATTTATTTTTTGCCAGGATCTTGTTGAACTTTTTTGTAAGGAATTTGTAATTGATGTTCGCAGGAAATAAATCAAACAGCTAGGCATGCAGTTTTATTTTTCTCAACTCGATGAAGCTTTTCTTTCTTTCCTTTTTTTATCTTGGATGGATATAGCAAAATAAATTTTTTTTCTAACGAAAAAAACTATATTAGTTTGAAAAATAGTTAGTGCCGCAAATACCATTTTAGAGCTTATAACTGGAAATAGAAAAATATCACTTATTTATAGTGTATTTAAATTGAAGAAAAGTAATTAACAAGTTGTTAGTTGAAGTGTTAAGCAGCTTCAATCATGAGAACACAAATTTAAATCTTGAAAACCCTACTCATTTGAATAAGCAAAAACCCTTTGGGTTCTAAAGTCCTGAAAGAAAAAACATTGATTAATAAATAAAAAACTTGAAAAGAAGTAAAAACCATCAACACAAGTGTTCACAGAAAGTTTATAAAAAAAGTATTCACAGAAAAGGAACAATTTATAATGCTTTTCAACATTTATTTTCTTCGGCACCCAAGTAAAACGAAACTATCCCTAGAATATAAATTAAAGCTCATTAAATAAAGACTCCTAATGACAAGGGAAGCTACTTATCTGGAATCCAGAGAGAAGGTCAAGATATTCAATTGAAGGATATATATTAAATAGTGTTAATTAGAATTGGTAATAAAAGTTGAGCTCAACCTGTCATAAGGTGGCGGATTGAATTAAAGAGAATATAAATCATTTTGATATGATTCTTTTCAACCTACACTAGCAAACCTACAGCCCACCACAAGTTAGCCCGCCAACCCATTTTTTTTAATTTTTATTTTAATAAGAAAAAGTTTTATCATTTTCACTTAATTTACATATAACTTTGTATTTTGTTAAAGACTTTGATTCTAAACTTGATTTATCATTTTCTTTATTATTTTATCATTTTTATACTAATAAAATAACTATTAACAATAAATTATATGTTTATATTTTAACTTTTGAGACTAATTTAATTATATAATTATATAAAAAATATAAAAATAAGAAGAATTTGGTTTATAAAAATTTAAATATACATGTAAAAAAATTTTTTTAAAAAGGACGAAAGTTGGCGAGTTTGAGGCAGTCTTTTTAGAATCGGTCTGCATGGTCTTAAACTCACGGCGGGCTAGTGTTAATCAATGAGAATTTATGGCTGCATGAGGATAAAGATGAAAATGGTGAATCATTACAATATTATAACGATATTTGTTTTTAGGGTATCCACAAAATACACACAGCACAAATAGATCAATGGTTATTATTGGTGCTCTAATTCTGAGAAATTTAAACATATATGACAGCTCATTCTCTTTCTGTTTTCTTGTTAAAAAGGAACATCATCAAACTATTCGTTGTGTCAGTGTTCTTGGGTTCTTGTCAATTACTATTCTTTATGTGTGTGATTGAGTATGTTAACGTTGTATTGTGGTAGCTAGTCCCTGTCCTTGCAATATCTCTTACCATTTTGTGTTGGGTAAACAGCGAGAAGAAACATCTCTTTATATATGCAAATCGTAACCCTAATGAGTAGACCTTCCAAATCATTAATCCCACACAACACATATACAATGAAATGGGTGCAGGACGGCCAACACATAATAGGAATTAAAAGTTATTTATAAACAATGGATCAAGAACACATATATATGTTCTAGAAAGTAATATAATACTCCCTACGAAGACTGTCTACAAACTAATACATCAAACCAGTATCAAGAACACTGTACAGACGGGATAATAAATCTGTTTGCGCTTGTTCTATGGGCAACGTGGGGAAACCGATCCAACGTAGGACAAGATGGCACTTTCACATGAAGCTTTGGGAATTTGTCCATCTTCATCTTGGAGGTCTATGTTCTGCAACACAATCCCCTGGCACGGAAAGCTTTGGCTGCAGTTCAAGCTCACTGCAACATCAGAAGCACTCGTTCCTTTTATGTTCTCGTACAGCACATTCCTGATTTTCACCGTTGAGTTCTGCATATTCACATCCCACAAACCAAACAAAATCATACATACGTATATTTATAAGTATGATTGGTCGAGTCCTTTAATTGATCTTAATGGATTCATTAAATAATTACCTCCTGTTTGCAAGGAGTCTCCTGGTCACAGTAGTTCTGGTCTATTATTATGGGGTTAGTCACATTTTCCATTGTAATATTTTGAAACTTGATGTTGCTTGCACTTCCTTCCCCTCCCTGAATCAAACAAATAGAATTAGATGCGAAAATAATGATCTGTATATGCTGATAAAATAAGATTGTCAGTTATAATTTTTACGAATTTTGCATACAGGAAAGTTCAAAGTAATTACGTACTGGCCAAGTCTTAATTCTAACTCCATTTGTAGTTCCAGAAAGCTTAGCTCCATTCACTGTTATTCCAGACACAAGTTCCACCGTTCCGGTCTCCCCTAAGCTTCCAATACTGTATTATATATCATTGATAAACAAAGGAATTATTGACAATTTTAATATTTAATTTAAAATTTTCGATTTAATTACTAGATATTGGAAATTAATTAATTGCATTTACCTGATACCATGGCCGGGTCCGCAGCTTATGCCAGTAGCTAGTAAATTTTGGGTTCCACTCTCTATTGACAAACAATCATCTCCTGCAAGATAAAGAGTGAAAGGATTATATATATTTCAAAGTGTGAAGATTTAATTAATTACTTTATATATAGATAATCAGTGTATACACACACACCTGTGGCTATAAGCGAGTTTGAGATTTTGATGTATCTGGTATTGGTGATGTGAATTCCATCAGTGTTGGGGCTATCCTCTGGTGCACTCACTGTAACACCAGAAACCTTAACGTTCGTGGATTCTTGAATGTTCACGTGGATTTGTTGTGCATTTTTAATCTCCAAGTTTTCTACTATCAGATTCTCACAATCATAGAAAGTCACAGCCTGCAAAACACAGTCGATATAACTATTAATCCAAATGAACTCTTTTAAATTTTATGACCTTGCAATATCTGTGTCAAAGTTTAGATATACGCTTACGTACCGTGGGGGCGCTCTCGCAAGGCTGTAAAGTCATAAAGAAACATCGAAGGAAAATATATTTAGTAGATGTTCGAATGAAAATACGAGTAGCGCTTATATAGAAAGAGATAAATGAACTGATCAACATTATAGGGTTCTGAAATATATATACGTACAAGACTCGGGTTCTTTTTGCAGGAGTTTCGCCACCACGTGTCTCCATTTCCATTGATGGTTCCACCACCTTGAACTGTTAGGTTCTGAACACTCTCGAACATAAGCCAGTGTTGTGGGTCTTGGGCGTAATCCGATGAGTCCTCTGATGCTGCAAGTGTCCCAGAAATCTGATGAAAATTTCAAATTTCAAATCAGTATAATTATGTGTTTGAGATATATCAAACTGATGATACACTATAAGTATATAAAATCTAGTTTCTGCATGTAACTGACCTGGATGGTAATGCTAGAATTACAGGGACCTGAGAATCTGACAGGCTTGAGAAGATAATTATAATTGGAAGGAACCACAAGAATTATGGCTCTCCCAGAAGAACATGCAGCTTGCCAAGCCTTATTGAAAGCCTGAAGTGAAAATAAACACACACCCATTACAGAAAATAGTGTCATTTTTATTGCTGAATCATCAAACTCTCACATATTGTTAATTTGGTAACATGAGAATGGTCGGTTCTTTAGATAAGGGTATGTACCTCTGTGTCATCGCTTTTACCATCCCCTTTAGCTCCAAAATCGTTGACATTAAACTTGGAAACTGAAGGAGACGTGACAGCCAACTTAACAAACCTGTTTAAGCTCAGCACTTGTGTGTTTTGCTGTATCAAGTTGTGGAATGTCCCACCATCATCGAAGTTGTTGAAAGGCGAGTCATCATCAGAACCATATATTTTTAGTGGGTCCTCTTGGGATGTGCCATAACAAGGAACAGAAGGAATAATAATGATGAACAACATTAAGAATATCGAAAAAAGGACATGGTTTTGGCGGGCCATTGTCATAGGTACGTAGGTACTGGTGGTCTTCGAATAATGTTGTAGCTAGGGGTAATAGGCAATAATAAAGGATAGATAAGAAGATTGATCGTATAAAGGAAGTGGGAAGAGAATGTTAAGTGGGATGAGTATTTATAGAGAGCAAGGGAGAAAAGGGAAGAAGTTAGTTGATTTGGTGTTCGTCTGAATAAATTGGTATTACGGTATGATCAGAGAGGGTATAACAAGTTGAGACGAAAGGATCTCTCAGGTCACCCCTATGACTTCTGTTCCACACCATATCCACTAGTAACGTCCACGAATCTGTCATCTTCTGTATCCACTTAGCTACATGTATGTTCAATATGTGTGCCATATATATGTAGCTTAAAACAATTTGAAAAAAGGTGTTTATATTTAATGCCTAAAAATAATTTGAATACTATTATCTCCTGTAGGAAAATACTTACCTCTGCGCTAATAAAAGAAAAACTCCACTTAAACATACAAATGACATATATCCCTATCCCTTTGGTTATCAAATGGCATATTTTGTGTCACCAAAAAAAAAAATGACATATTTTATTATGTTACCTGGATTGTTATGATCCAGTGGATATTAACCTTTCTTGGCCATCACAGTTAGTTAAATCTC